TCTGCTGAAACAATTTGGGATCTGCTTCAGGTGTTGCTCCTCTACAAACCACCTCGCAAGGGACTGTAAAGTTGTGATCAAGTGTGACGACTGTGACAGCACTGAACATACCAGAGCGCTTCACCCGGACAGTTCCAAACCTTTGTCTTCGAGCCTCGGACAGGATCCTGAAGACGACACCATTCATCACGGACTATCACCTGACGTATCTTCCAAGTGCACCGAGGTGTGTGGGGAAGGTTACGGTGGAAGGTCCTGTTCCAAGATTTGTTTGGTGAGTGTGTGTCACTCAAGCACACCTCAAAAGGCTGTGAGAATGTATGCCATCTTGGACGACCAAAGCAATAGGTCACTGGCAAGGACAGAATTCTTCAACCTCTTTGATGTCCAGGGAGAGAGTTCGCCATATACTCTCAAGACATGTGCTGGAACAGCAGAAACGACAGGAAGGAGAGCCTCTGGGTTTCTGGTTGCAAATATTGATGGCAGCGTGAAACTATCTCTCCCAACCCTAATTGAATGCAATCAGATGATCAACAACAGGAACGAGATTCCGACACCAGACGCTGCACGTCATCACCCACATCTAAAGGCTATAGAGAGCCTCATACCGCCATTGGATACGGAAGCTCAGATTCTGCTTCTACTGGGAAGAGACATCCTGAGAGTCCACAAGGTGCGTCAGCAGTGCAATGGGCCTCCTGATGCGCCCTTCGCTCAACGACTAGACCTAGGATGGGTGATCATAGGAGACGTCTGCCTAGGTCGCACACGCAAGCCGGACTGTGTCACCAACTTCAAGACAAATGTGCTCGAAAATGGACGACCCTCCCTTTTTGAACCATGCCGCAACCATTTTCTCGTCAAGGAGAAATTCACTGATCCCGTCAATCCAACCCAGCATGTACCACCTACCCAAGGTATACCCATCAAAGACTACTCCGTCGAAGAAACGACAGACACGTTGTTCCAGACGACAAAGGACGATGACCAACCAGCTCCATCGGTGGAGGACAGAAAATTCCTAAACATCATGGACAATGAAGTCTTCAAAGATGAGTCATGCAGTTGGGTAGCCCCTCTTCCTTTCCGCGTGCCAAGACCTCGGCTTCCTAATAATAAGGAGCTTGCACAGTCTCGTCTTGCATCACTGCGACGCACACTGCAGAAGCGACCAGAGATGAAGGAGCATTTTGCGACATTCATGAACAAGATGTTCAGGAATGGCCACGCAGAAGAAGCCCCACCGCTAAGAGAAGAAGAGGAATGCTGGTATCTTCCAATCTTTGGTGTGTATCACCCACGCAAACCAGGCGAAACCAGGGTCGTGTTCGACTCAAGTGCTCAGTTCAAGGGAACTTCTCTGAACAATGTTCTTCTCACAGGACCAGACTTGACCAACAACCTGCTGGGCGTCCTGATTCGTTTTAGGAAAGACTGCTTCGCTGTCACAGTGGACATTCAGCAGATGTTCTACTGCTTCCTGGTACGAGAAGACCATCGAAACTACCTGAGGTTCTTGTGGTTTCGCAACAATGACATCCACGACAAAGTGGTGGAATATCGGATGAGAGTGCATGTCTTTGGTAACAGTCCATCACCAGCAGTGGCTACATATGGACTCCGGAAGACAGCACAGGAAGGAGAGGAAGAATTCGGCAAAGATGCCAGGGAGTTCGTCGAAAAGAACTTCTACGTAGACGACGGGTTGAAGTCTCTCCCTACGGCAGATGGTGTCATCGACCTGGTGAAACGCACGCAACAAATGTTGGCAGTTTGTAACCTAAGGCTTCACAAGATAGTATCAAACAGCAGCAGAGTGATGGAAGCTTTCCCCAAGGAGGACCACACAAAAGATCTAAGGGAACTCGACCTGAGTCACGACATTCCACCAATCCAACGCAGTCTTGGAATTTGCTGGGACGTAAAGAAGGACGTCTTCACCTTCAGGGTTCCAGTTCAGGACACACCATTCACCCGGCGTGGTGTCTTGTCAATGGTGAACAGCGTGTACGACCCATTTGGATTCGTGGCTCCAGTTACCATACAAGGGAAGTCTCTCCTACGAGAACTCGTCACAGAAACCTGCGAGTGGGATTCCCCACTTCCTGAAAACAAGAGGAAAGAGTGGGAGAACTGGAAAGATTCCCTTCAGGCTTTCGAGCAGCTAGAAGTGCCTCGCACTTATGCGGCCGTTTCACTTAGCACAGCTCAGCAGAAGGAAGTGCACATCTTCTCAGACGCCTCGACCAAGGCTGTAGCAGCTGTGGCGTATCTGAGAGCCACAGACTCGGATGGTGCGTGTCATGTCGGCTTTATAATGGGCAAGGCTAAGCTAGCACCGCGTCCACAACACACCATTCCAAGGCTCGAACTGTGCGGTGCGGTGCTGGCTGTGGAGCTGGCAGAGCTCATTCAGAAAGAAATAGACACACAACTAGATGTGGTGCATTTCTACACCGACAGCAAGGTGGTTTTGGGCTACATACACAACCAAACAAGAAGATTTTACGTGTATGTCGGCAACAGGGTCGAACGCATCAGAAAATCTACACAACCAGAGCAATGGCATTACGTTCGGACCGATGCAAATCCTGCAGATCTTGCTACAAGATTCGTGCCCGCAGCCCGGCTACAGGAGACGGCTTGGCTGACTGGTCCAGAGTTCTTAAATCGTCAAGAAGAGTCTTCATGCGTCTTGCAGAACGAGTTTGAGCTGATGGACCCAAACACTGATGCCGAAATCCGGCCCGAAGCAAGCGTCTCAGCCACCAGTGTGACCACAAATGGACTCGGGACTAATCGTTTCAGTCGTTTTTCAAGCTGGCCTAGACTGATGCGTGCAGTGGCATACCTCATACGTGCTGCTGGCAACTTTCGGTGCCCTTCTCGAGCCGACGAAGCTGACCTGCCACGTGGCTGCCTTCAAGCAGGACAGCTATCTGTCGAGCATTTGTCTCTTGCAAAGAATCTCGTCATTCGCTCCGTCCAACTAGAAGCATATGCAAATGAGCTCGAGTGTTTGTCACAGGGGAAAGGAGTCCAGAAATCAAGTCCACTTTGGAAACTGGATCCTCGTATTGATGACAAGGGCTTGCTGAGAGTCGGTGGTCGCCTCAACAACGCACAGCTGAGTCAAGAGGAGCGGAGACCTCTAATCATACCTGGTAAACACCACGTCGCCTTGCTGCTTGTAAGGTACTACCATGAGCAGATCAAGCACCAAGGTCGACACATTACTGAGGGAGCAATCAGATCCGCAGGTTTCTGGATCATCGGAGCAAAACGCTGCATAGCGTCGTACATACACGGGTGCGTCATGTGCTGCAGACTGCGAGGAAGACAGCTGGACCAGAAGATGGCAGACTTGCCAGTTGATCGACTCAGTACAGAACCCGCATTCACATATGTGGGGGTTGACGTTTTTGGACCATGGAACGTGACTGCACGTCGAACTAGAGGTGGAGAAGCCAGCAGCAAACGGTGGGCTGTGCTGTTTACGTGCATGAGCATTCGGGCGGTCCACATTGAAGTCATAGAGTCCATGGATGCTTCAAGTTTTATTAACGCTCTCAGGAGATTTTTCGCACTCAGAGGACCTGCGAAACAGCTGCGATCCGACTGTGGAACCAATTTCGTCGGAGCATGTTCAGAGCTCAACCTGAGAACTAGTGGTCTCGACAACGACAAAGTACAAGCATTCCTTTCAAGCCAAAATTGCAGTTGGGTGTTCAACCCTCCTCATTCTTCCCACTTTGGAGGAGCTTGGGAGCGGATGATCGGAATCGCACGTCGTATTTTGGATTCCATGTTGTTGGAACACGGACCGAGCCGTCTCAGCCATGAAGTTCTGGTGACATTTTTGGCAGAAGTTTCAGCAATCATAAATGCTAGACCTCTTGTTCCTGTTTCGATGGATCCGGAATGCTGGGACATCTTGTCTCCGTCTACACTCCTTACCCAGAAGGTTGGTGGAGACACGTTACCACCCAGCGAGTTCAACGTCAAGGATCTCTACAGAAGTCAGTGGCGTCAAGTGCAGTGGTTGGCAGACTCCTTTTGGCACCGTTGGCGACGTGAGTTCCTGACAACGCTTCAGAGCCGTCGCAAGTGGCAGGATAGCCGTCGAGACCTCAAGGAGGGTGACATTGTGCTCCTAAGGGACAAACAGGTTCACCGCAACGAGTGGCCTATGGGTGTGATTGTGAACACTTTCCCGAGTGCGGACGGAAAAGTACGGAAAGTCGAAATCAAGACGGCGACCAGAGGAGAACTAAAAACTTTCCGACGGCCAGTCACTGAGACTGTCCTTCTCATCTCAAAAGAAGACTGATCCAAAACTTCAGTGCGTGTCCAGTTTGTAAACTTTGCGTTATGGTGTCATAGTGGTATCTCGTGATACCAGACGGGGAGTGTGGTGTTACTGCAATCTAGTTGAGTTTGGACTTGCTAGGGTTAGCCGCATCGCGTTGGCATCAGTCTGTGCCGTGTGTGTTTTTCTTCCTTTTTTGTTTTGGACTCGTTCGATCTGGGATCACCATGTAACGCGCTACTACGAAGCACCGTCTTTTACGGTGGTTGTTATGGATATAAAAGTACAGTTTTTCTATGACATCCAGTCGTTCGCTATCTGAGGAGTGGTCGCTCTAAGGCGCGCCATGGATTCAGAAGGCATGGCGCGCCTTAGAGCGACCACTCCTCAGATAGCGAACGACTGGATGTCATAGAAAAACTGTACTTTTATATCCATAACAACCACCGTAAAAGACGGTGCTTCGTAGTAGCGCGTTACATGGTGATCCCAGATCGAACGAGTCCAAAACAAAAAAGGAAGAAAAACACACACGGCACAGACTGATGCCAACGCGATGCGGCTAACCCTAGCAAGTCCAAACTCAACTAGATTGCAGTAACACCACACTCCCCGTCTGGTATCACGAGATACCACTATGACACCATAACGCAAAGTTTACAAACTGGACACGCACTGAAGTTTTGGATCAGTCTTCTTTTGAGATGAGAAGGACAGTCTCAGTGACTGGCCGTCGGAAAGTTTTTAGTTCTCCTCTGGTCGCCGTCTTGATTTCGACTTTCCGTACTTTTCCGTCCGCACTCGGGAAAGTGTTCACAATCACACCCATAGGCCACTCGTTGCGGTGAACCTGTTTGTCCCTTAGGAGCACAATGTCACCCTCCTTGAGGTCTCGACGGCTATCCTGCCACTTGCGACGGCTCTGAAGCGTTGTCAGGAACTCACGTCGCCAACGGTGCCAAAAGGAGTCTGCCAACCACTGCACTTGACGCCACTGACTTCTGTAGAGATCCTTGACGTTGAACTCGCTGGGTGGTAACGTGTCTCCACCAACCTTCTGGGTAAGGAGTGTAGACGGAGACAAGATGTCCCAGCATTCCGGATCCATCGAAACAGGAACAAGAGGTCTAGCATTTATGATTGCTGAAACTTCTGCCAAAAATGTCACCAGAACTTCATGGCTGAGACGGCTCGGTCCGTGTTCCAACAACATGGAATCCAAAATACGACGTGCGATTCCGATCATCCGCTCCCAAGCTCCTCCAAAGTGGGAAGAATGAGGAGGGTTGAACACCCAACTGCAATTTTGGCTTGAAAGGAATGCTTGTACTTTGTCGTTGTCGAGACCACTAGTTCTCAGGTTGAGCTCTGAACATGCTCCGACGAAATTGGTTCCACAGTCGGATCGCAGCTGTTTCGCAGGTCCTCTGAGTGCGAAAAATCTCCTGAGAGCGTTAATAAAACTTGAAGCATCCATGGACTCTATGACTTCAATGTGGACCGCCCGAATGCTCATGCACGTAAACAGCACAGCCCACCGTTTGCTGCTGGCTTCTCCACCTCTAGTTCGACGTGCAGTCACGTTCCATGGTCCAAAAACGTCAACCCCCACATATGTGAATGCGGGTTCTGTACTGAGTCGATCAACTGGCAAGTCTGCCATCTTCTGGTCCAGCTGTCTTCCTCGCAGTCTGCAGCACATGACGCACCCGTGTATGTACGACGCTATGCAGCGTTTTGCTCCGATGATCCAGAAACCTGCGGATCTGATTGCTCCCTCAGTAATGTGTCGACCTTGGTGCTTGATCTGCTCATGGTAGTACCTTACAAGCAGCAAGGCGACGTGGTGTTTACCAGGTATGATTAGAGGTCTCCGCTCCTCTTGACTCAGCTGTGCGTTGTTGAGGCGACCACCGACTCTCAGCAAGCCCTTGTCATCAATACGAGGATCCAGTTTCCAAAGTGGACTTGATTTCTGGACTCCTTTCCCCTGTGACAAACACTCGAGCTCATTTGCATATGCTTCTAGTTGGACGGAGCGAATGACGAGATTCTTTGCAAGAGACAAATGCTCGACAGATAGCTGTCCTGCTTGAAGGCAGCCACGTGGCAGGTCAGCTTCGTCGGCTCGAGAAGGGCACCGAAAGTTGCCAGCAGCACGTATGAGGTATGCCACTGCACGCATCAGTCTAGGCCAGCTTGAAAAACGACTGAAACGATTAGTCCCGAGTCCATTTGTGGTCACACTGGTGGCTGAGACGCTTGCTTCGGGCCGGATTTCGGCATCAGTGTTTGGGTCCATCAGCTCAAACTCGTTCTGCAAGACGCATGAAGACTCTTCTTGACGATTTAAGAACTCTGGACCAGTCAGCCAAGCCGTCTCCTGTAGCCGGGCTGCGGGCACGAATCTTGTAGCAAGATCTGCAGGATTTGCATCGGTCCGAACGTAATGCCATTGCTCTGGTTGTGTAGATTTTCTGATGCGTTCGACCCTGTTGCCGACATACACGTAAAATCTTCTTGTTTGGTTGTGTATGTAGCCCAAAACCACCTTGCTGTCGGTGTAGAAATGCACCACATCTAGTTGTGTGTCTATTTCTTTCTGAATGAGCTCTGCCAGCTCCACAGCCAGTACCGCACCGCACAGTTCGAGCCTTGGAATGGTGTGTTGTGGACGCGGTGCTAGCTTAGCCTTGCCCATTATAAAGCCGACATGACACGCACCATCCGAGTCTGTGGCTCTCAGATACGCCACAGCTGCTACAGCCTTGGTCGAGGCGTCTGAGAAGATGTGCACTTCCTTCTGCTGAGCTGTGCTAAGTGAAACGGCCGCATAAGTGCGAGGCACTTCTAGCTGCTCGAAAGCCTGAAGGGAATCCTTCCAGTTCTCCCACTCTTTCCTCTTGTTTTCAGGAAGTGGGGAATCCCACTCGCAGGTTTCTGTGACGAGTTCTCGTAGGAGAGACTTCCCTTGTATGGTAACTGGAGCCACGAATCCAAATGGGTCGTACACGCTGTTCACCATTGACAAGACACCACGCCGGGTGAATGGTGTGTCCTGAACTGGAACCCTGAAGGTGAAGACGTCCTTCTTTACGTCCCAGCAAATTCCAAGACTGCGTTGGATTGGTGGAATGTCGTGACTCAGGTCGAGTTCCCTTAGATCTTTTGTGTGGTCCTCCTTGGGGAAAGCTTCCATCACTCTGCTGCTGTTTGATACTATCTTGTGAAGCCTTAGGTTACAAACTGCCAACATTTGTTGCGTGCGTTTCACCAGGTCGATGACACCATCTGCCGTAGGGAGAGACTTCAACCCGTCGTCTACGTAGAAGTTCTTTTCGACGAACTCCCTGGCATCTTTGCCGAATTCTTCCTCTCCTTCCTGTGCTGTCTTCCGGAGTCCATATGTAGCCACTGCTGGTGATGGACTGTTACCAAAGACATGCACTCTCATCCGATATTCCACCACTTTGTCGTGGATGTCATTGTTGCGAAACCACAAGAACCTCAGGTAGTTTCGATGGTCTTCTCGTACCAGGAAGCAGTAGAACATCTGCTGAATGTCCACTGTGACAGCGAAGCAGTCTTTCCTAAAACGAATCAGGACGCCCAGCAGGTTGTTGGTCAAGTCTGGTCCTGTGAGAAGAACATTGTTCAGAGAAGTTCCCTTGAACTGAGCACTTGAGTCGAACACGACCCTGGTTTCGCCTGGTTTGCGTGGGTGATACACACCAAAGATTGGAAGATACCAGCATTCCTCTTCTTCTCTTAGCGGTGGGGCTTCTTCTGCGTGGCCATTCCTGAACATCTTGTTCATGAATGTCGCAAAATGCTCCTTCATCTCTGGTCGCTTCTGCAGTGTGCGTCGCAGTGATGCAAGACGAGACTGTGCAAGCTCCTTATTATTAGGAAGCCGAGGTCTTGGCACGCGGAAAGGAAGAGGGGCTACCCAACTGCATGACTCATCTTTGAAGACTTCATTGTCCATGATGTTTAGGAATTTTCTGTCCTCCACCGATGGAGCTGGTTGGTCATCGTCCTTTGTCGTCTGGAACAACGTGTCTGTCGTTTCTTCGACGGAGTAGTCTTTGATGGGTATACCTTGGGTAGGTGGTACATGCTGGGTTGGATTGACGGGATCAGTGAATTTCTCCTTGACGAGAAAATGGTTGCGGCATGGTTCAAAAAGGGAGGGTCGTCCATTTTCGAGCACATTTGTCTTGAAGTTGGTGACACAGTCCGGCTTGCGTGTGCGACCTAGGCAGACGTCTCCTATGATCACCCATCCTAGGTCTAGTCGTTGAGCGAAGGGCGCATCAGGAGGCCCATTGCACTGCTGACGCACCTTGTGGACTCTCAGGATGTCTCTTCCCAGTAGAAGCAGAATCTGAGCTTCCGTATCCAATGGCGGTATGAGGCTCTCTATAGCCTTTAGATGTGGGTGATGACGTGCAGCGTCTGGTGTCGGAATCTCGTTCCTGTTGTTGATCATCTGATTGCATTCAATTAGGGTTGGGAGAGATAGTTTCACGCTGCCATCAATATTTGCAACCAGAAACCCAGAGGCTCTCCTTCCTGTCGTTTCTGCTGTTCCAGCACATGTCTTGAGAGTATATGGCGAACTCTCTCCCTGGACATCAAAGAGGTTGAAGAATTCTGTCCTTGCCAGTGACCTATTGCTTTGGTCGTCCAAGATGGCATACATTCTCACAGCCTTTTGAGGTGTGCTTGAGTGACACACACTCACCAAACAAATCTTGGAACAGGACCTTCCACCGTAACCTTCCCCACACACCTCGGTGCACTTGGAAGATACGTCAGGTGATAGTCCGTGATGAATGGTGTCGTCTTCAGGATCCTGTCCGAGGCTCGAAGACAAAGGTTTGGAACTGTCCGGGTGAAGCGCTCTGGTATGTTCAGTGCTGTCACAGTCGTCACACTTGATCACAACTTTACAGTCCCTTGCGAGGTGGTTTGTAGAGGTGCAACACCTGAAGCAGATCCCAAATTGTTTCAGCAGAGACTTGCGTTCTTGCAGTGGTTTCTCTCTGAACACACGGCACTTTCGTAGAGGGTGAGGTTTCTTGTGAAGCGGGCACTGTCTGTTAGGGTCCTCCATCCTCTCGGCTGTGGCTGGCGAATAATGGTCGACGGCTCCTGGAGTAACGTCGGTCGCATGGTCATTATCTCTCATCGTCGCCGTCTCTCGTTGTCACACTGCGACCACACGGTGCTTTTCGACAAGCGGTATTGTCATCAGAAATAGTCGTCGTGCATCGCGAAGGCAACCGGGTGCTCGCGGAAAACCCGTCATTGTACGCGTTCGTCGAGCCATCGTTGAGCAACAAGCATCGCCGCCATTTTCTACGCTCTAGAATCCTGCCCAAAGCTTGTTCCCCTTCGTGCAATAGAAAGAGAGGTTAAAAGCACGAGCGCATCACCCCGAACGATCTTGCACGAACGTTGGCTTGCACTGCGCAAGCGCGCCTGCTCGACAGGGACGTTGAAAGCCCGGAGCACGTTCTTGTAGCTCCTACACCCGCACTAGCTCGCACTCATAGTGAAACAGAGAGTAGGGTGTGTCGAGGAATACCGCAGTTAATCTAGTGACGCGACTTCCGCTATGTGCTACGTAGGTCGGACGTCGTCATACGTCACTTTGTCGTCACGGTCCAAACTCGAAGAGCGACAGTTACGGCAAACGGTTGCTTTCGTGTTTCGCGAACGTTCCCATGGGAACCGCGTGGAATTATCACGCGGGCTGTGGCCAATAGGAGCGCGCGGTTTGTAGGGGGGAGGAGTTTTCGAGAAACACGAACGTGACCGTTTGTGACCAGAATAGCACCCCAGAATAGCACCCCAGCATGAGATTTAAGTTTGGTGGCACTCTAGTGGTCAGAGTGATCAGAAAAATAAAGCTAGGTGCGCGATTTTGTATGAATTCAAGTGATTCAGAGAGGTTAGATTGTTAAGTGTCCCAGATAGCGCTTGCACACTCTAATTTTGGTCACACCAGTGTAAGATAAGCTAAGAGTTTTACAAAGCGATGGGCTAGTCGCAAATTTCGCCACTGGTAACAAAGCACTCGGTTTGCTCTATTAGTAACGCTTGTTATGTGAGAAGACAAGGTAAGATTATGAGCTCCGTTTATGCCTAGATATTTGTAGGAAGACGCAGAGGAAATTGCCAAACCACAGATGGTGTAGCTCGGGTCGGGTACAATTGACTGCGGTGGAGAGAGATTTAAGATGTTTTTGTAACTTTCAGAGACACTATTATTTCCTGCGCCATTCTTCAAATTGATGAAGGTCATGCTGGAGGGTATTAGTTTCAGTAGCGTTATTGATGTGATGGTAAATCACGCCATCGTAGCCTAACGAGCGAATGTTAGAGGATGTTTTAGTTTGCAGGTCATTTATATGGATTGCAAAAATGAAAGACGTTTACAACACCCTGTAATGCCGAATTAGAGCGTAGCTTTTGAGGAGGAGGAGGCAAGGGTACTGAGAAGAGGGTATACCCCTCTTCCCTTGTCCTCACCTCCTCATCCTCCCTGTTGTTTTCCTCCCCTCCTGCCTTCTCTTCCTCCTACGCCCCTCCTCCTCCTCCTTCACCTCCTCCTCCCCTCATTTGCCAAGCTGCTCCCCTACTCATCCTCCTCCCTCTGTCTTCCCCCTCCTCCCCATCCCCTCCCCCTCCTCCTCCTCTCCTCGCGGTGCATTGTGGGACAAATCACATAATGATCCGCGCGGTTACGCCGACGGCGACGGCGACAGCGACGGCAACGGCGACGGCGCTCCTGAAGTGCAGCAGTGATATCAGGCCTTCCTGGAGTGCTGCAGTGATATCATGACGCAGACCCCATTAATCTAAAAAAATGTCCTGATAAATAATAAAATATTTAAGGACCCCAGCGACGCCCCTTTTGCGTCAATACCTCGGTGATCTGGAGCCAAAACTCAAAGAACATGAATGACTCTTTGCTGGCTCTGGGAAGGGCTGTCGCTGAAGCATTAAAACTTTGGTTTGGGCTAGTTGGTTCATGGTAGGTATAAGGTTTAAAAGCGCAAACAAACAGGGACACTAAAAAGTAACACAAACGACAGGGACAAGGCGCTGAAGCGGTTTCTCGCTTCAACCAGGGCATTGCGCAGACCAGCAAGATGGTAGCAGAGCAGCTCGTCTACAGCGCTGGGAACTGTCTGACGCGAGGAGACTCGAGAGGGAAAACCAGAGTCTCCGCGAGGGCGACAAGGCTTGCACGGAATGTGAGAACATGAAGGAGGTGTCGCGAAGGCGGACAAAACAAGTTGAAAGTTGCGCCTTGTTGTGTCCTCTTCTCTGCTTTTGTCCTCGTCTTTGTTGCGCACAAGATTGTATAAGACATACTCGGGGATTTTTCGTACAGAATTGAGGCAGTTTGAAGTGAACGCCAGCGGGTGATTGTTGCCTGGTTACGGTGGAGCCTTGGGATAGCCCGGGATCTCCGTTCGCTGCTGCAGAACGATCGGCTGCGTCCATTGCTGGTTGTGGGAGGCGATGCCGAAAAACAAAAATCACCGGGATCACGTCCGGGTCACCACTTATCGCGAAGGCGATCAAAACATGGACCGATCCGTTCGCCAGGCAAGAATCGAATCCTTTATTCTCGAGCCAGCACCGCTCTCGCGCTCCCTGACCTCAGCTCGCGGCAGCGCACGAGCGTCGGCGCCAAGTTGGCGGATTTGTATGCAGCAGCTTTTGCCGATGCTACAGAGGGGATGGCCAACAGGCACAATCTAGACACGATCCAGGACTATTGCCCTGGACTCACGTGAACCTATACTTGGAGCCTGAAAAACTCTTACGTGATTTTTTGTACCATTTCTTTTTTTCAATTCCCATTCTTTGAAAGTGTTCAAAATATTTGCCTAAAGAATTTCTAGAAACGTTAGTATTTTTGTGTTGAGCAATAACCAGACTGTATCCTAAAGTTCTTTTTTTTCAATAAAATCAATAGTAAGCGTTCAAACAGAAAATAATCTTCAAATACGATTTTGTCAGCTTTGTCTACATTTATATGGTGCCATTGCCTTGCGGATGTTTTATATTATTTACATAAATGAATACCAGTTGAAGTTGGTATTGTTGTTCTAAAGAAAACGGAACTGCATCCTACATTTTTTTCATGGAGTCGATATATTAAAAGTAATTAGCTAAAATGTCTACTAAATACGGGCCGATTTTGTTCGCTTTCAGTTCTGTGATATTTTTGTGTGATGAAACTGGCCTCATAAAGATTTTATTACCTTTTAGCCTACACCCTGCAAAAAAAAATTATAATGATAGATTATTTTAACTACCCGTAAGAAATGACCTAATTGCAATTTTATATTTTACCATACCGTTTTGTTCTCGAAGAGATATATAAAATATAATGCCAGATATGAAAAAAAAAAACTCAAACATATTTGCACGCTAATATAAAAAATAAAATATTCTGATAAATATAAAAATAGTTAAGGACCCCAGCGACGCCCCTTTTAACCTTATTTCACGCTTCGCGATATTTTCTGGTCACCATTCAAGGCCGTGCAGTGAGCCAAATATCCCTCTTTGAATTAGTTGTTTTGAGAGCGGTTTTTTGTTTCACCGATGGTTTATAACTTCTCTGTGACGTGCGTTGTTGACGACAAATATATGGCTTGAGGAATAGCAAAGCCATTCCTTAAGCGGGAAGTGCCCGGGTATCGGCTGTGTTCGTTCATCATCACAGTGATGAGAGCGAGTCGACTGAGCAACTGCGTTCGAAACGCAAGGTTTTCCTGACCTGCGCGGGAGGTTGGCTTTAGGCAATAAATACAGCGCGCGAAAAGCTCGTAGTATAATTTCATTTGCTGTCCCTCTCGCCCCGAAAGCAGTGGCTTGCTCAGATGGTTCCAAAGCAACGGACTGGTTCTCTTGCGATAGCTGCTTGCTGGTACTGGGGAGCGGCCAGTAGCCCGCGGTATTTCCCTCTCCTAAAACTATGGCAAGTATTTTCGGTTACTTCTTGGCAGTATTCTGTGTAAAGATCGAGAATAAACGCAGCGTCCCTGTTTAGATCTATTGAGCTTGATTCGCTCGATTCGGGACCGCCATAGTGAGATGAAGATGAGAGAGCAACTTTGCTACTCTACTTTTAGGGACTCAAGTTCCTTCCGTTCTGAAGGAACACAAGTTACAAGATCGTTCCTCCCGTTATGAAGTAATATCTAGACTTTTTTTTCTAAAAGTATGTATGGTTACTTTGAAGCATAAATTGAGCACACTTCCACTGGGTCTGCTTTCCGCAGGGTATGATTTACTAAAATTTTGTATTGATTGAGGCCCCCGATTCTTTTTACCCTTTGAGTGATCTGTGGTCAACAATACTAGAATTATTTTGCGTGCGCCACCCGCCTATATCTCAAGGGGACTTTCTCACCCTTGTTCTCTGCCATCTATCCGCAAATCATGAAGCGCCTTTCATGG